AGAAGTTTCAATGAATATTGCTCTTTTTGTTCAACTGAATTGAGATTCTTAGGTAAATTCTCCTTGAATTGAACAAAAATTCAGTTAGTTACACAAATGAAAGGTTAAAAACGGAAAATTTTGGATAGATTTGGTTAATTTTTACTTTCTCGAAAATTACGATTAATTATCTTATTTTCCCGAGAAATTGGAAGTATTAATATTGATTTAACTAATATGAATTTTATATGTTCACAGCATTATGTAATCCACTTTTCAGCTAAAATTAGCGTAAATTTTATTGTATTTCAATATGTTGAGAGAAAATTGTGAAAAAATCCATATTTCTATTCAAAGTTTTGTATCAGTGTCTCAACATGATGCCAATTGAAAAACAATTTGAGCTCAACTTTAAACTCTAAACATATCCATATTTCTTGAAATTAGATCAGAAGCAACAAAAAAGTTGCCAAAACCTTGAGATATTTGCAATTTTTTCCAAAACTTTGACATTTTTTTACTTTCAGTAGGTTGCAGCATAGTTTCAGCTAGATTGATTACTGTTTCAAAAATTCAATTTTTATACTTGTTTGAAAAAAATTCAATTTTTTGATAAAAAATCCAAATACTTGCCCATCTTACCATTGACTTACCATGAACCAAAAAACATAATACCTTCATTACACAATCTACACGTAAAACGCAAGCACTACATAACGCGTGCAGAGATTTTTGCGAAAAAACTAGACATTTCCACACAAAATCCAGAAAAACGCCGTTTTTCTTACCGTTCTCTTACCATCACACTGAAACCTATTCCCTATTTTAATACAATGCATTTGTAAACCTTATACATAGAGATATCTATACACTATCCTAATACATGGGAAATCTAAACTCTATCTTAAAACATGGAAAGATCGGGCGCCAAAATTTTTTCTGAAAACTACCATCTCAAACCTTACCATCTTAATTAATAGGAAACCTATTCCCTATCTTAATACATAGAAAATCTATTCCCTATCTTAATACATAGGTTGGTGACCTGATACTCTATTCCCTATCTTAATACCTTGGGAAACCTTTTTCCTAATGATTTTTTATTTCCCTTCATTGACTTTGTCATACATAGGGAAATCTATACGGTATAGATGGGAAATTCGGGCGCCGAAAAAACTTAACATCTGAATCTTACCCTCTGAAACCTGGTAATTAGGAAACTTATTCCCTATCTTAATACATTGGGAAATCTATAGCCTATGTTAATACATAATGTGAGGACCGGATACTCTATAGCCTATGTTAATACATGGGGGTCCTCACCCCCCCCCCCCCCCCCCGGACAATTTGCCCCGACATATACTACTTCCCAGAATTTTTTTTATCTCGAGTTCTGACTCGCCGAAAAGTAAGACAACGAACACCTTCAATAATTGTGCACTAATAAAAACAGAATGCTTCAGAAACTTTACCTCAATTAATGACTTTAGTTGTCTACAGCATGAGTAAGAGCTTTCACTTTTTAGTGATTCGTGGTACTTTTAGGCGTATTTCAGTGGTATTCGTGAAGTTTTTGCCCGCGGGTTGAAGATTTTGACATCAAAGAAGGTTCGGCTAAACCTTGCTCCCTAAAATCCGTTTGCTTTTACATCTAGTCGAGCGTCTGCATCAGTTGTGGTTGAATTTTTAACAAAGCTCTCGCCTTGCAACGACTGAAGTTTCGGCTCGATTTCAACCTTATAGCAAACCTCGCTCATGAGGTTGGCAAAGGTATCTCTGATTTCGTCATGCTTCATGTGGGTGTATTCACTCTTTGCACAGTGAATGGCGAGGGAAAGATCAAAAAATTGACCACATGCACATGTGAGTGGAATGTTGGTTGGTTCCCACCCATATTTGAGAAAAATTCCATCCCAGAATTCGGATTTACTTAGGTTGAAATTATATCTGCTAATTGGCAGTGCGTTTAACCAGTTTGAGGCTCCTTGTTCGGAGGCTAGCCCAAGTGCATATTTTTTCACTGTCGCTCAAGTTGTTCAAAAGGTTAGAGCTCTTTTGGTTTGTTCTTTCAATGTTAAGTGTTTAATTTTTGTATAGAATTTTTTTGCTCAGATACTGCTGTTAATGGGTCGTATGTGTCTAAGACTGACGAACTTTTAATTGAACATTCTAAAAATTCTCATGGTCAGTAAGAAGCTTGATATTTAGACCACCCATTTTCAGTGGCAAATTAGTGATGTCTCTAAGTTCATGGCTAAAATGATCTTTACCAAATAAATTTGGAATGATATTTTCCTGCAGTAACATCTCACAGGCCTGTATGTTTTTTGTGGTATTGGGGGTAGTTCTAGCTTAAAATGATAATTGTTTTTGTACACTTTGTTGTAACAGGAGTACACGTTTTGTGGTGTTGTTTTCGCGATCTTGCAATGTTTTTTCAGTGTTTTGTTATGTTCTTTTTATTGAGTTTCTAAGAAAATATTACATTCAGCTCGGATCTTATGACAGAACCAAGTGCTCTGGTTCTTTTCTTTTTTTCAATTTCGGTATTTTTGAGTACCTTAAGCATTTCATTGTATCTTTCATCTTTTACAATGAGCTGGCAATTCGATGCCTTTACATGATATCCAAAAATACTTTCCGTATTTGATAATATTGTCAAGAACTGTTCGCAGACTTTTCAGTTTTCCGACTGCGCTCCCATCGTCTGCATACCATTTCTGAATTAAGCTGTTAGCGTTGACTAATTTTGTTAAAGGTAATGTGGCTAGCCCGTACATCGCCATTGCTAATGGGTCTTCTTGTGGGATTCTTTCTCTAGATAGGATAACTTTTTTTACGAAGAGTTTGGATGGATCAGAGTATGAGTTCTGTATAGAGGGTATTATAGAAGCGAATATTTGAAACGTTTTTCAAAGCCAGGTTCCGGTTTAGTGAGTTAAATGCATTTTCCGCTTCGGTATTATTGCATCGGAATCTGTTTTCAGGTATTGCTTCATAAGCGTATGAATTGCATATTCGGTGCCTTATTTTGGTCAAGGCATAGTGATTCGATCCGAGTGCCACAATTTCGCTTTTAAATACTTTGTGATCGTTCAACTTATTGTTCTGCAGATGAATTCGCCAATGCCAATTCGCCAATGCCAATTCGCTTAACTCCTGGGTTTTCATGGAATTAGGTGACAGGCATTGTATAGTTCGAGCAGCTCAAGACTTACTATTTCTGTCGATATTTTCTGCACACCATTATATAAGGAGGAACGGTATCTTTGATTTTTCAACTGGCTGTTGACCATTGGGTTAGTTTGCGTGCAAGTGGAAAGGGTTTGTATCTTCGGAGCATGATGTTATATGGTTGTTGCTTATTATCTCCGCGGGAGGGTGTTTCTCAATGATGATTTGCTCAACAGTTTGACCTGTGACGGTTTCCTCGAGTGAGAGAAATTCTTGGAGGTATCAATTAATTTAGCAATAGCACTCGATTTTTTTCCGGTGCTCAATGATTTATTAAAATGCCGTGCTTCAGTTTCTACTTTCTTTTTCTTACTCTTCACCATGCCCATTTGCAGCGCTTTCCTTTCGTTAAAATGTTTGTCCAGTTCGCCCTAATGCCATTGTTTAAGACTTCTTGCTATATTTTAAGAAATCGAAACATCACTCTCCGACTTAGTTTTGCATAGCATGAGATGAGGGAAAATCATTGCTGTGTATGTGTTTTTTTTGTGTTTCAACTAACGAATTGAGGGTTCTATTTAGTGTTTCTTCAAACTTAAACCCAAGTTTGTTTTTTGCGAGGATTATGAAGACTGGTTTCCAGTGCTCTACTTGGCTGTGGATTGTTCTTATTTTATCTTTTAGCTCAAGTCTGGGATTTGACCAAGGGTTGGGTGTGGCTGTTACGTGTTTATTGCTGTTTACAACTGGAGGGTTTTGATTGTTGGTCAAAGCATGTTGTTGAGGTTGAGTTGGAGGGACTTGGGCGTCAGTTGTAGTGTTGTCTGTAGTCAGGGAGGTGCAGCGAATGCAACTAAAGCTAAAATTGTCTTCGTGGTCGCTGGTTCGGTTAAAGCCGCTCCATATGACATGCATGTAGGCTGCGCATGTTGTTCACCTGCCGCGTAGGTGGTTTTTAGCTATGATCAGAAATTATATAAGGAGGAACGGTAACTTCAGATTATCAAGAGAATTTAGAAATATTATAAGCAAGAAAAAAAATTGTAAACCGTTAATTAGCGAAGAACGTGAAGTGGATGCCGTCTCGGCTGAATATTTGAGAGGTTAGATTTAAAATAAGATTGGGCGAAACAATAATTGAGTGTGTTGATGAACAAATTTATTATTTAGGTTAAACAGCATATGGTTATGAATATAACATTTGCCATTAACATCATTATTATTGGAGCTTTGGAACGTTTTTGGATGATTAGGGTTTTGCGCTGAAATTTCTTTGTAATTAGATTGATTAAATTTTTCCACTTTATCTCAACTTCTTGTGGATGCAGCTTATTATCAATAAACCCAATAAAGATGATTACCCTATTAAAGCGCTTTGGTCCGTATTGTAAAACTGTTTCGTACAGATATTGGTATGTGGCGCCGCGGTAAGAGTGAATTGTACATTTTACTAGAGCAAGTTTGATATATTTTGTCATTGATGTGCCAATTACAAGCTTCTGTGAAAACTCAGGAGTGCGCCTCGCCTGGAATTGGGGCATCCGCTTGAAATTCAGGGAGCGAGAGCAGCAGAGAAGCTCCTACGTGGAAAGATGGGGGATGGTTGGGCAATGAATTTAATTTAAGTCTGAGAGTTAAAAAAAAATTAAACGAAAAAGTGATAGGTAGAACGGTACAACCTTTGGTGTTGTTCAAGGGTAGTTCCAACTGCTCACTCCTTCTTGTGTCTAGATACGCCAGGCAAGCTTCACTCACCTACGACTGGGCCGCCGAGGTTTGGTAAGATAATCAGAAGAAGGAAGCCGAGCGCGCATATGATGTGAAAACACACAAGCGGTTAATTTGAACAATCTATTTAATAAGTTTACCACAACAATACATCGTTGTGTGAGTGACGATACACGCGAATAGAAATATTCAAAAAGTCTCCAGTAATGAGATATCGGCACTTTCAACGTACGCGATTTGAGCAACGAGGTGAAACAGAATCATCTAGTGGACGACGCGATAAAGTACAAAATCGATATTTGCTGCGTTCAGGAAACAAGGATCCAATAGGAACGAGACAATAATTTCAGATTTATAACCCTGGAAACGTCCAAAAAACACTGCGGAAACGGATTCCTTGTGTCGCCGAAGATCGCCAACAGCGTCCACAGCTATTGGAAAGTGTCCGGCTGGATATCTGTTCTCCAAGCTCGATTAGAAGATGAATACGAAATCGAGAAAACCGGAGAACTGACGATGAAACTGCGAAAACGTGAACGATACAGGTGCGAACACGTCACCGATACGAAACTGAAACTAACAACTCAGAAACCGAAACATCTCCTAACCGTGACCAATATTTATGTCCCCCCCCCCCCAACAGGCATATTACAGCACAGCCTAGATGAGTTGGAAGAAATTTACCATACACTGAACAAATTGGTTGGTGAGAACAAGAAACACAACCTCCTGTACCTTGCTGGAGACTTCCACGCCAAAGTTGGACGCCCGACGAGATACACATGCATCGGACGGTACTCCAGGGGACGGACAAGCAACAGCAGCACAGCTCTTCTAGAATTCTGCGAGACGAACCAACTCTTCATAGCGAAAACCGGCTTTCAACATCGCGCCAGTCACATCACGACGTGGGAATCGAGAAGGTTCGTTAATGGAAAACTAATAACATTGTTCGATCAGATTGACTGCATAGCCTGCTTCATATATATGAAACGAAATCTGACGAATGCAGGAAGCTACAGTGGAAAAAAATCAGACTCTGGTCACAGTCTGGTAATAGCAAGGTTCAATATACGAAAGTACAAGTTGTACAGGCCAAAAACCGAGCGAATTCAGCCACCACTTAACATCAATCGCTTGGTGTCCGAGAAGAACACGAGAGAACAATACCAAACCGAACTGGAGGCACGAACAAGAAAATCAGAACGCAACACGACCTGGGAAGCTTTGCGCAAAGACATTCTCCAAGCCGCAACATCAACCTTGGAAGAGAACATAACGAGAAAAGATCATAACCCAGAGATCCATTCCTTGTCGCAGAAGCAAAAAGACCCTCGACTGAAAATCAAGGAGGCTACAGACGAGGACACGATTAGAAGGCTCAGAAGCGAAAGAAGTCAGATCCTCACCGAAATTCAGGCCAAAGTGAAGAAAACAAAACAGGACAGCCTCGACTTGGTTTTGACTGAAATCGAAAGCACACCAGACAATGCGAAGATGTTTAAATCTGTGAAATTCTTCCTATGAGGGAAGCGGCAAAACCCGATGATGAAGGATGGCAACAATCACCCGATAACATCACCGGAGGAGAGATAAGAGTGCATCAAAAATCATTTCCAACAACAATTCTTCAAGCAGGATATCGACGAATTTGAAAGTGACAGGTCACATGAACCGTTATATAAGCAAATAACCGAATATGAAGTAAGATCTGCGCTGAAGAAAATAAAGAACGGAAGACGGGGTCAGCGCAAAACTGCTCAAACGCGGACCAGATATCCTAGTAGCACGCGTGACCAGCACACAGAACGGTGCATTTGAGCAGCACGCCGATCTGAAGCTTGGACACGGAATCCTGGCTCCCCTCCAGAAACCCGGAAAAAGGAAGAGAATCATCAAGAACCTCCGAACAGTTATACTGCTTCCAATAATCCGCAAATTGCTGTCCTTGATCACAATGAACCGAATCCGCTCGGCCACTGAACAAGACATCTCCGACTCCCAGAGTTCAAGCCGACAGGGCAGAGGGAAAATGGACGTAGCCTGGAGATTGAAGTGGCTGGTCGCGAAATCTCAGAATTCCCAGGTGGAATTGTATTTGACAGGAATCAATACGTCAGCTGCTATTGACACAATCGACAGAAAACAGCTAATCAATACATATCACAAGGTCATTCCACGAGACGAATTTCGACTACTAACGAAACTTTTGACAGAAACTAACCTGGAGATTAAGGCTGAGATCTGTCAGAACCACGAAACATTCCCTACCAACATTGGATCCCCCCATGGAGACGGAATCAGCGGAATCAACTTTAATTTGTACTTTAAAATGCCCTTAAAGATGTGAGACAGGATCGAGATGAAGCGAAACCACCGGCACAATTAGACCACGATTGCTCAACCCCGAAACCAGACGAAACGATTTACGCAGACGATACCGACTTTACAACGGAAGAAGAAAACGACTCAACTTGGATTCAAGAGAACGTCACTACCATCTTGCAGACGCATCGACTCAAAGCAAACCCGTACAAGGCCGCAAGACCGATATCACAGTGATCAAACGAGGAAATAGATCAGAAGAGAGGTGGAGGAAAACGAAGAGGCTCCGCTCGTATTTGGGAGATTCTGAAGACCCGAAACGTAGGAAAACGCTAGCCCCAACAGCTCTAGCAAAACTACAACTAGTCTGGCGCAGCGACGAAATCAAACTGAGAAGACGATTGCGACTGCATAATTGCCTGGTGAAACCGATACTGCTCTACAACTGCGAAACCTGGGTTCTGAGCAAGACAGAACGAAAACTAATCGACGCCTTTCGTCGCCAACAATTACAAAAAGTACTATAGATCAAGTACCCATACAAGATATCCAAAAAACAACTATACAAACGGTGCGACTCATCCCAAGTATCACTCGTAGTAACCAGAAGACGCTGGATTGCCCTCGGCCACATGTTACGTCTACCAGAGACAACACCCTGCTGGCGGTCTATGATCCATTATTTCAATCAAAAAGAATTGAAGAAATTTCGAGGAAGACCCCGCACCACACTCGTGACCACCATTGACGAAGAGGAAGACAGCAAACTATTCGAAGGATGTAACATTCGCCCAAATATCACACAGCGACGGAGCGTAGAAAAAGTACCTATTGACGACTGGCAGGCGTCAGTTACCTTAATTCCACTCGTTTTTCACCGTCTCGACCTTGCCAGTTGATTTTCTGGTCTGTCTAGGGCAAAGTAAAAAGTTACTATTTTTAGGCCATCAGTCAAACGACTTTTGATCAGCTTTCGTTTGCATGCGAACACAACCACATAGCTGAGTCTCGGATCCTCAGACTACGTGATTGTCATTAAAAACACGGCTCGAACAACCTATTTTTATATGTTTTTGTGTGACAGTTTTATATTAAATCCATTGGAGATGGATTGACCCTTTCCTTTTTCTATCTACTCATGCTCTGAAATATCAAATAATATCGGTGTTTAATTAATATCTAGGACATTCCAGCAGCTGTTATAGTTAGTTTACCCAGTCCCTTCACATATAACAGTCTCTGGGGGACCAAGCCTCCGCTCCCGTGATTTTCTTGAGATAACACTCTTATCTCCTATATTTCGTGTCCCGGGAGGGTTCCGTGGTATTTCTCTTCTCCCCACTGAAGTCTCCGTCTCCACAAATATTCGTCACTAAGGTCCTTATCGTGTGTTATTGCCACGATAAGAGGCTCCGTAATTCTCTTGTCTCTGACACAACTGCTCGTCACAATTTCTATCGTTGTTCTGATTTTTTCTATTTTATTCAAAATGGCCGTCTTTTCTCTATTTCTCAGAAATGTTCTCCTTCAAATCGAAATTTTAAAATTAAAAATTCCAGAACATTCTGACCCTCCGTCGCAACACTTTTCTGTTCATAAGGCCTTTCGTCACTCTTTTTTATGTCGCGGGAAGGTTGTGCTGTGTCATCCGGCAGAATGGCACATACTCCCCGGACAAGTCTCCATCAATGTCCCTATTGATCGCACAACACCGGGTTATCGTCAAGTAGGTATCCAGTTTTCTGTAACCAATCTTACAAATCGCATAAGAAAATGAAATTTATCTACTCCACCTCAACTCACTAAGTGTTCACAAATGGCATCGTACTACATCTCACTGCCTTTCAACATTTTCACAAAATTTGCACCATGAGGAGTGTCCTAGATAAAATTTCTTTTCTGACTACTTATGTCATCTCGCCATAAAACTTCTTTTCGCTTCTGATTAAAAAGTGGGACGTGGCACGGCCACGCACCCGTTAAAATTAACTTAACTTCACTCACCAAGTATAATTAGTCATTTATGTGGTCCTTTCAATATTAAAACTAAGAAACTCTGTGGCTAGGAAAGTTATTGAGTTACCCACCCTTCTCGAGCGAGTTTACTCAAACTTACCATGTCGCCACACAGTGAAGTTGTGTCTTACACAGGTTAAAAACTTCAGTCGGGAATAAATAGGTAAATATACTCACCTATGCTCCTTATATACATACATAGATAGTAATAACTAAAATCAACAATTTCAACAATTTTAACAATTGCAACATTTTCAAAGTTTGGTCTGACCAAACTAAATCAAAACAAAAAGTTTAACAAGTTCAATAATCAAAACTTGGTTGATTTGTTCAAGTTTTTACACACAAAGACAATCAAGTTTTTTCTCCTTCTTTTCTCTTCCTCCGTCATCTTCATTCCATCATTTCTCCATCCTGATGTTCAGCGTCACTGTCTTCCAGAACTTTCTCTAACATGTCCAGAGAGTTGCGGGCCGTGCCCCAACCCTCCTGTTCCAACAGCCTCGGTTTGCAACAAGGTAGCAAGTCCACATTCACCTTCTGCTCCCGGTTCCTGCAAAAGCTGCTGTGAAGACATAGGCTCACGTTTCGTTCTAGGTCAGCTCTTAAGACCTCTTTCTTTTCATTTTCAGTAACACAAGGCGCTCCAGCTACTCGCTTCACCGCCGTGGTGACCGCGTTTCTGTGCGTCAGCAAAGCTCTCTTATAGGCTCCTGGTCCTATGTCTAGCTGGAAAGATTGATAGGCTTCCGTGTTCCTTGACATGTGACGCTTCGCGCGTTCATACATCCAAGATGTCATCACTGCACGGAACCAAGGCATCAATCTTTGCCTTGACCATATTCTTTCAATGGCTTTAGGTATTCTCAGAACCTTGCAGGTGGTTCTGAAAAGATCCAATTCACTACTCATTTTCACGTTGCTCAGCTGTTCAGGAGTCGGCACGGCCGTCTCCTGCTCATTCGTGTCCGCATAAGCCTCCAACCATCTCACTGCTAGCATGGCACTAACCACCACGATTGACACTGGTTGATTCTGATCGGGCAACCCCGTGGAGTACAACTCCTCCACGTCCCATATTAGGATCAGATTCCCGCGTTTGGGGTACCACAACGTCTGCGCTAAGCAGTGGCAAGGATACTCCCCATGGGTTCTCACTATGTTCCTTCGGGTCCGATACCCTGAGGCTCCCAGCAACGGTTCCACTTCCATCAGGATTCTATGTAGATCGTCTTTCTCTTCTATGGTGGGGAATTCAGTGGGTAACGCTCCACTCGCTTTCTGCTTCTGGAACTCACTCACGTTGCCTTCGTTCAGTATCATGAACTCTTCACCCACAACGTCTTGCAACTCGCCTTCGGATCTCTTCGGGACTGCCCGAAAGATCTTTGCCAACAAGTCATATGACCTTTCTGACATTCTGGCCAACCTCACGCACTTTGGCACAGAGAAAAGTTGGTCAACCAACACCTGTTGCGTCCTCGCATCCATCACCACCATGTGCGTAGGATACTTGCTATTACAGTATGGCGCGGAGCTTGAACCCACCATGTATTTTGAACCAGTAGGTCTGTGATAGGCTTCACTATCCTTCAGATTCATTTCATTCTCTAGGGCTTCTCGCCAGCCTCCAATCTTTTGTTCTGTCTGTAATGCTCCAGGGAATATCTCCACGCTGAGGGACGTCACTAGCTCATGGGCACGCTCCAAGCGCTCGAGCGATTCTATCGAACTCGTCATGCTACAAAATCCCAAGGCTGTGATCAGGTTTACGTCCGTCACCCCATGGCAGTCTGCGACCAATTCCATGGCACTCTTATCTGACATGCTTAATCTTCCATACAATCGTGCCAGTTGTCGATGCTGCTCGCTCAGCGTAATCAGGCAGTGTCCCATGTTACAAACATGTCCTTCCATCCCACTGTGTTGAGCCAAGCATGTGCCTTGCTTCAACCAATTACTCGATGTACCTTCCTCGGACAGCTCCGTGGACGGGTTGCTCTTCTTCTTCGTCAATCTCATGCTCAGCAGGTGATGTATCATGGCCAGATCATGTAAACTCGCATCATCATCCCTTTCCAACATGACATCCGCGGTCATGTCCCAGATTAAGCCTGCGTTAGGATGGGGACACCAGGAAGGCTTCATGAGTTCCCACATCACTACTAGACTGGTTTTCAAGGGACCGTCCCAAGAACCACAATCAAAACTCACTTGCCCTTTTAGCTCGGGAATCGAGGGTTCGACTACTCGTTCTTCCAAAATAATTCCCAGCTTGGGTTGTTCCACCATCAGCATTCCGATTTCCTTAATTCGTTCAACCCAGAAGTTGAGCACTGTGACTTGCTCGTAATCGAAGTATGCTTCCCTGGCTTCCTCGTTCACGAAGGGATTATACGCCATCCCTGGTATGCCAGACACGTATTGGAACGACTTCAGTCTCCCTAGTGTTGCAAACTCTTTTTGTCCTCTGACCGCTTCAATCAAGTCTCGACTCACTTTCAATTCTTTGTTGGAGTATCTTCTCACTTCTTCCAACTTGCGATAGCTTTCCATATCATTCGACTCCTTGTCTGGCACGGTCAATGGTATGTCCTGATACAGTTCTAGGAGTGCCCTAAGGAAGTTCCTTTCGCAATCAACTCCCTTTTGCCGAATGATCTTTATACATTCTCCCAACACAGGAGTGGGGATGCGATCCACCACGAACCTGACAAAGCAAAGGGCATCCTTCCGCTTAGCCCATGCTATCGCTGAATCGTCTTTCGAGATCAATGCTCGCAGAGCTTCCATCAATTCTAGCTCCTGTTCTCGTGATTTCGAGTCATTACTGGCTTCATACTCCGCCTTTTTGATGCCCATCAAGCACCAAGCCAGTCGCACTTGCAGATCAGTTCTCACGCAAGGATGAGCCAGGTATGCTGCTACAGTCGCAGGTGCATTCATCGTCTCATCGAAGTATTTCTGGAGGGCCGCCCTCCAAGAAATCTCTAGCAATTTTTCCAATCCAATTTCGTTCGCTTCTGATGACATTACTGTCCCATACTCTTTTCGATTGAAGTTAGAGTTCTCCGTAAGCCCCTTCAAATATTCTTGCATGGCTCGCTTCTCGCTCCAAGCCATCAGGTGCCCTCTCGCGGAGTTCCTCGCTTTCAACATTTCCACATAACCCCCTGCCGGATCTCCCATGTGGACCGACTCCGGCACAGTTATTCGACTGT